GGGGGGTGGGGGGGGGGTTCATGGCCTGAGAAGAGAAGGGTCATTCAGCTGAACACCTATAATTTGCCTGATGTCAATTAGCACTACTTACACTTCATTTTCAGCATCTCACAGAATCAGAGCTTAGCTTTCCTGTGCGGGACTCCCCAAATAGATTCTCTCCGTCCAGTCTCCTCCCTCCTAAATTTAGAGGCCGTTTCTGAAATTCTTGAACTAAGTAACTTGTTCAAGCTCAATGGGCAAGTGTGGCAGAGCTGGAAGTAAAATAAGGTCTGCTGACTTGTAGCCTTGTGCTCAGTTCAGGTACTATGGTCAGGCTAGCTGAAATGCAGAAAGTGAAAAACGAAGGAGAAATGGGCCAGTACTAATCCGCAGGGCTCTGGCAGACCGAATACCTGAAATATTTGGCAGCTACGCCACTTTTTAGTTATACCAGCAACCTTTTTCTTCCAAAAAATTTTTTTTGTAAAGATTATGTCCAATTTTAACAACTGATCTCTATCTTTCTCTCTCTCTCTCTCTCTCTGTCTCTCCATTTTTTTTCCTTCCACTGGCTCACTTTGTATGTGATATACTCAGTTCTTTTACATCTTCTATTTTAGATTTAAAACAAAAACCTAACAACTTAGAACCCAGTAGCAGTATTCAAACATGTTCTCTATTCTATTCTTACTATTTTCTCTTGACGTGTGCTAAAGAACGCAATCAGGGCAGTAAAGTCGCTGCTTGAGTCAGCTGCTGTGGGGGTGCGGGTCAGACCGATTTATTATGGTGGAAGTGGTGACAGGCCCTGGCAGATCACTCACTGTTGCATTCCAAGTAACTTTTTTAAATGACAAAAACAATCCAAATATGGGAGATATTTTGAGATAGGGGAATAGGTGGCTCTCCAAGATTAGTCATTCAAAATGAGTTTAAACAGTTGGGCAGAGTAAAATCATGGTGGTGTCAGCCATTAATCATCTTAGTCTGCTGGCTTGCCTCATCTTCCCCCAACTCATTTCATGGGAATAGACTGTTAGACGGGGCTTATCCACAGTCCCAGGGCAGGTGGACAGCACACCCAGAAGGTGCATCACCACCTTCCCTAACGTTGAGCCCAGGCCCCCCTGCCGTAGGCACTTCCCCTGCCGTTGCACTTTGGGTGGTGCCACTTACTGAAAAACTCTTAAGCATGTCCTTCTGGGCCCACCTGGGTTCCCTCCTAACAGCTGAACAGTTGTGTTAAAAGATAGCATCAATGTTGACCCACAAGACTTGAGAGCACCTATTTTAAAATACTCTGTGCTCTGTGACCCTTGACTGAGGAAAGTGAACTGCCTCTTTTCAGAGGCTGCAGTATGTTCTGGAGCGTCAGTCCTCAGCACAGGCAGCACAGAACGACGGGTTGGAGGCAGAAACAGAATTTGGCCTTGGGTTGTTTGGAGCCGTTGTTTTCTGGGGAAAAGATTATATACTGAAAATTTTACTTAACTCTGTGAAGAAATTGAGAAAACAACTCAGTATGGGAAGGAACTATGCCACCAAGGTGGATTTCCTTGTGTTTTAACTCTGTACAGCTAGATCATGAGTCCAGATGAGATCTTGCTTCTGGCAGTACACCTTATACTTCAGGGAAAGCTAAAGAGTGTGAGAAAACCCAGGGAACTACTTAGTCAAGTGTCTGTTGCTTTTCCCAGAGATGAGGAAATGCGTCCTCCTTCCAGGCTAGTGATTGGTATATGCTCTGTGCCAGTCATTCGTCTGGAGACAGCAAACTGTTTTATGAAGCTGAAGGCACACAGGAAGAGGTAGAGGAAGGAGGCATGAGATAGCAGGTGTTTCATTTGACAGCCCCACTTGCTAAGCCTATTGGCCTTACATCTTCCTCCAGTGGAAATTAAGTTCTCTCACAACATCTCCATTGGGTGAACAGTAAAGGCAGGCCCAGTATTTGCATGAAGCTTAGCTTTACTGGATGCTGTCACGTACATTTCTTACAGAGATATGGCCAGCAATGGTATTCTAACTCACCGTGGAATAAGCATATCATGCTGAAGTGGTCTGCGAGGTAATAGATTTTTTTGAACCCCAGGCTGCCGGGTAAGTAGGTAGCGGGAGATTAACACTACTGAACAGGATTGTAAGCAAGGGGGAAGTCAGAGTATCCATCACCCTCATTTACTGATGTATTATAGCCCTTACATATTTTTAACTCTCCTCTCACTGTTTTCTTTATCTCCAGGCCATATGTTGACCTAGTGAATATCCTGCTCACCTGTGGTGAGGAGGTGAAAAAGGCAATAACAAGAAGCGTCCAGGCCCAGTGTGAACAGAACTGGGGAAGTCTCTGCTCTATCCTGAGCTTCTGCACCTCAGCTGTGCACGGTGACTCCATCCTGAGTCCCGAGAAGAAGCCAGGCGAAGCCAACAAAGCTGCTGCTGGCCGTGGGGACATGCTGGCCCACTCTGAATCTGACCACAGGGAGAGCTTGCGAGCATCCAAGGGAGAGAGAGGTACTAAGGGCCACTTGAACACCCATGCCCGGGTGAAAGCTGGGGCCCACAGTCCCAAAGGGGCACATGGGAGCATGGACCGGGCAGACGAACTGTCCGACTTCTCTGACATCCGGAGGTGAAAAAAGGCACCGACTTCCCCTTTACCCCTTTCCTCCCCCTCCACTGGAAACGTCCTCCGTTGAGTCCATCTCCCTATATATGGACATTCCAAAGCATTTCCCATTCAGAGGTCAAGCACAGGGCATTGCAAGATATTTGGACCTCAGCAACCGTGTATATAGTAGCAAAGGGAGAGCAGTGGTAATGGGTTATCGATCCAGCAAGCTCAACACTTGAGTGGCCACCAAATGTGGCAAAATGTCTCCAACTAAATTCTTTTCCCCTTTTTACAAAATGGATGTTGGTTGGAATTCAGGATCTTGTTCTGAGGTTGTTGGGTTTTTTGAGGGAGTTGTTTTTTCTTGGTCCCCTCGGCTGGGGAGAAGGTTACAAGAAGGCTCTGCCAGACTGTATTTGGCCACATGTGGCTTCGCGCCCCTGAAGATTTAGGGCACAGTCTTAAAGCAGATGGCCAAATCCTGAAGGGATTTGGTTTCTGCCTGTGGCTGAGAACGTGAGAGCTCGAGGCTCTCTCTGTGATATTCTGTAGTGAACCAGCTATCTCATTTCTTGCACAGGAACCCTGCAGTCTTGAGCTCTGCCGTTTTCTCTTAAGTAACTTCTGAGCCATTGTTCCCATCTGGGCAATGCTGCCTAGTTTAAGTGCCCCCTGTTTGTTTTTTAACCACTGCATAGCTTGACACTTGCTTATCCAGTTACTTCAGGATGCCAGAGGCCTAAGTGGTCGGCTTCCAGGCAAGGCACCTGGACTGCTACAACTTGCTTAGCTACAGAACGCAATGTGGAGGACCCCCCAAGCGTAGGTTCATAGACCTCTAAACTCCCTGGGCATATTCTCTTCTACAAATTATACCTGCCTGCTCAGTGACCCAGCTACAATAGCAGCCGCCTCCACCCTTCTGGACAGCCCAAGCTTGCAAGGATGGGTGTAGGCTCAGGCAGTTAAGGAGCCAATATACTAAGTTATTCTGTGGGGCTGCGTTGGAGGCTCATTAGAAGTGTCTCTCTTTGGAAGCAGCGTGGTGCAGGTGTCGATTAGCTGCGGTTTATCAAAATGCCAAAGACATTGAGAGGGGGGTTGACTTTTTGTTAATTGTCATGCGGATAATGACCGCCAAGGTCTGCAGAACTGGTTACTGGAGAGGGAAGTGTGTCAAGAGCTCATTCTTTCTGGGTAGTCTGTAGTGCAAACAAGGTGTTAGGACACATCTTTCTTACCCCTATCCCCTATGAGAATTGTAATTCTCAGGTTGCAGATCTGCAATCCTCTATCCCCAGATGCTGTACTGGAAATGTAGGTTACAGCACCCATGGGGACAGAAGGGTGAGCTCTTCAGCTTCTCCGGAGAAAAAGTGAATTTTCTTAGAAAGTGGGAATCGCACCAAGCATTTTTGAGCCTTCTCATTTAGGAAGTCTGGGAGGAAAGCTGTGGGGCAGTTCAGTAGAGACAGAACGTACCCAGTGAACTAACGTACGTCTTGTCGCATGGTGGGTAGGAGCTGTATAAACGGTAGAGCATGTTGGAATTTGGCTACAATTTCCAACTTAGATTTTAGTTACTGCTAAGTGAACACAGCTCCTAATAACTTTATTCAGAGTTTAATGTATGTATCCACCAGCAGAATTTATAGGCACTACTTTTAATAGAAGTCACGTAGGAAGCAAGAGAGGATCGTTAAATTGAAAAGATGTGTCCTCATGTGATCACCAGGTCTTTATTTAAAGAAGGGACCTTGATCTTGTTTGATTTTACTGCCAGTTAAGTGCTGTGACAAAGCTCTTACTCAACTCCATTGGGAAGATCTGGGATCAGGCCAAATATTAAAGCCGCGAAGACCGTCCTGACCTGAGGAGCAGAGCTCCTTCCAGTGAGTGCAAGTTGGCCTGTTCAGCTGTAATAAAACTCTCCCGTGGATGTTGTCCCCAGGATGTCACAAGGGAGGAGCGAGCTTGCCAATGCTAACTCCTGCCTAGCTCTCTGATGGCCAACACCTCTGCTCCGCAAACCGAGTCTGACTGCTGGTGATACCATAAGCGAGTCTCTGGTCTCCCTTCCCCTGAGTTTCCTGTGAGCATCCTCTTTCCCCTTAGTGGTCCATAGCCACAGTAAAGAACAAGCTCAAACCAAAAAGAGAATCCAACTGTTTTAGCAAAAAAAACAAACACAAAACAGAAACAACTCACTACCAACGTAATGTTCTTGCATCAAACTAAAATAAGATCCCTCTCTCATTAGGGGCCTGACTCATCTATGGCAACCAAACATATAGATATACATCCTTGAATGTCTCAGTCAACATATCACCTCAGCATGCATACAGTTTTATTTGTATTCGTTCATTCTGAGTGGGGAAAATTGTATATTCCCCTTGTTTAGTCAATGAAAATTTCTTTTTTTTTGTTTTGTTGGGAGCTGTGGGTGGGGGGGGATTTTTGTATAAGGCATAACTTTTTTTTCCTCTGTGTGTGAAGATTTTATGTGTTCATCTACTGATTCCACATATGCTATTATTGTAAATATTTAACATTTCTATTTATTATAGTGTCTCCATTTAAAAAAAGAACACTGCTGGCTATGATAATTTAAACGTATGTCATGACCTGTGTTGTATATATTCATGCCACTAGTATGGTTTTTTTATGTTTAAAGCAGCGTAAATATAGTTTTATACAGTTCCATAATGTTATTGACAGCATAAATCATTTATTTATTGTTAAACCTTCTTTCATATCTAACAAATAGGGTGCGTTTTACCTGAGAGTATTTTATTGTGACATCTGCATAGCCTTAATTCTTTATAAACTTAAAAAAGAAAAAAACTGTCCATTTAGATACTGTATGATGCTTTAATTAACACTCCTTATGAACTTACTGTTCAGCAAGGAGATTTAGCTTAAAAGCCAAGGTTTACACTTCACATCTGGAAGGAGCCTTGTTCAGGAATGGAAATACGGGGAGAAAAAAACGCCTACTGGAAAAAGATATCAATAAACCCTAGAAAATGCTGTCCTAACTTAAAGTGCTGAAATAAAAGAAAAAAAAAACACGTGTCCTTCAATTCCAAATCTCTGGGAGAAAAACATACTAGTTTTATCTCATGTAGAATTTGCAGCCAAATAAGCTTGTTTTAAAAAAAAATTGCATATGGCTTTAGACAAAGCTCTGTACCTTTCACACTATTATTTTTCCTTAAACACTAATAAATGTTTTGAATAAGTCTGTGGCTGGGTTTATTTAGCTGGAATTTCAGCTGTGGCGCTAAGGGGTAAGAAAGCAGTAGGAAGCCAGGCCAGGCCCCCGGCAGAGGCACAGAGGGGCGCAGGGGACCGTCCCGTTCCCCCCCGAGGCCCTTCTGCGGGACGGGGAGCAGCCGGGTCCCTACGGCCGGGCTGGAACGGGACTCCCGGCGCTTCGGCAGTCTTTCCCTTTGCAGGAATTGGGTTCGCTGCAGCACATCAGACCACCTTACCCACTTTAAAGTCATCAGCTCTGGGAGCGCGAAAGGAGCGCAGGGCTGCAGCGAGAAGCGGGGGCTTGGCCAGTGGCCAATGTCCCGGGTGCTCGCGGGGATCCTCATGTCGCTGCCCCAGTGAGCGTGGTCCAAAATCCTCCAGGAAGGGGCTGCACGCAGGCAGGGGCCGGGGCTCCGCGTGCTGGATGTCAGCCAGACCCGCTGACAAATAACAGCAGTGATGCTTTTAGAAGCTGTAACAGCTAAGATTTGCACTCCTGGATGTATTAAAAAAAGAAACCCTTGCTATTGATGTAGCAGCAAGGTTTCTCCCTTCAAGGTTTTGCCATACTAATAGAAGACATCTGTTTGGCTGTTTGTTGTCAGCTACCAGTAGTTTAGCGACAGGTACCAGTCGGCGGCTCCAAATAAGGACGTAACAGGCAAGTACGGTAGTTCTAATCATATCTCAGATCACTCCATTACCACCCAAAGAGAGATCAGGTATCAAAAATCTTAGACGTCTACTGGAATTTCAGCAAAGGAGAACAGCTAAATCCTAAGATTTACAAAAAGCAAATACCAAAAAGAAACCTTTGTGTAGTCTCTGAAGTTGATAAATAGTTAAAAAAAAAAAAAAAAAAGAAGGCAGGATGATGGCTTTTCCCCTTCCCTTTTCATTGGGTAGGCAGCGAGGCAATGGGGGAACTATGAGAAAGCATCTCAGAACATAAGGCAGGGTGTTTTTTTTTTTTTTTAATGGCTGCTTGTATGAAAAGGCACGTTTTTAATGCTCCTGTGAGGTTTAAAAATAACTAATGCAGCTGAAGCCTTTGGATAAGATGGACTTCACGAGCCTAAATGTGATTTGCAGCAGTCTAGGATCTGTAGCATTTCTTTGCCTTTAGGTGTCACAGCTTGTCTATAATCCTGCTGTGGACTGTCTTCAGCCGCCAAAGGGAAAGCACATCTTCCTAGTTGAGATGTGAGTGTTTGGTGTGATACGGTCTTGGGCCAACCTGCAATCAGACTTGGGCCACGGAATAGCTAGTGCTGAGGTCTGATCGCTTGTCGTCATTAAAGATCCGACTGCTTTTTTTTTTGCAGGCGTTGGTCCACACCTTGGCTGTGGTGCAGCTAAGGTACCGGCACTCTGCCATCTACCATCCTCCCTGCAGTTTTGACTAGAAAAGTTATTTTCCATTTCCTGATGCGTGCTGTGGCGAGACTGCGTTCTGCTCCAAAAAGTGGCTACACATCAGCAATGGTGACGTGGCCGTTGCCTTCCCGCAGGAGAGCACGTCTTACAAAACAGAGCACTAACAGAGCGCTGACATAAAAAGTACAGAAGCACAGAGTGAAAGAGAAGCCCTAAAATGGACTTCAGGGCAGGGTCGCTGAGTGGCTGGCTGGCAGTCACCTACTTCTGGGAACGACAGAGAGGAAGGAATAGACGGAGTCACGTAGCATCGCTCCTGGGTTTGCTGCAGCCCTCAGAGATGAGCTCTGTGTGCACGTCTCTAGCTGCACCAAATATATCTACTTCTCACTGCAGTAGAGAGAGTCTGAGGTGGCTTGATGGGAGGTCTAAAGCATAGCTGCAGAGATTCTGCATTGCACAGCCCTGAAAATTGCATTACTTAAAATACATTGAATGCTAGCATACAAGTCTACTTCAAGACTGGAGAGATCTTAATTGAGTCTGAGTCACTTTGCAAGCGGAATAAGATGAACCAAATCAAGGCCACTTAAATTCCAAACGCTTGTCCATACAAAGGGGTTGCGGAATTGAACAAATTCCACCAACATTCGTACCTTTGTCTGATCTGGATGTATTCTCCCGCGGGCTCCCTGTCTAGCCTCCCAAAAGAACAAAATTAATTCCAGATACTGGCTTGCTCAAACATACCAAAACATTTACAAGTGTATATGTCAATTTACACATCTCAGCCCACTACGTGGGCTCCTAAGTCAAACTTACAGTGAACGTCGCCGTGTTAGTTTTCAACAGCTCCTAAGCACGGCCCTTAGCTCTCTTTGGTAAGTGCAGGCCTGGGGATTGCAGGAGCACAACTGCAGCTCTGAAGAGGCTCTCCGTTGGGATATGCCTGATAAATTCACTGCAGTCATCTTCCCAGGTGAGGGAAGAGTTAATAATTGCTGGGAAGCCTTCTCGCCAACGCGCTTTAAAAGCTGTTTCCTGACACCTTACCAGAAACACAAATCCCACTCAGTTTTCACTGCTAGCTGTGTTCGTGTTTCCATGTTCTCCTCACAGGCTCTCGCAGGAAAGGCTTCCATTACACCTGCTGGTTAGAAGTCAGACATTTCTGTATACTTTCTCCAGTGAAAAATACACTGGATCTTGAGCCTTTGAGTGGTCCTGGGCAGCCTGCGTCATGCAGAACCGTCACAGGTCTCCCATACTGTGACTGACCAAAACCCAGAAAGAAGGTTAAACTGTGGAGAGGGGATACGAGGGAGGAACAGCCAGACCTCTCTGGAGGCTGAAGCTCCACCAATGCTTCCGGAGGTCCCTCCTCTGTCTCCTCCTGTGGTTCCAGCACTAACGGGTCCTGGCTAAAGACTGGGGTGAAATACAACCATATAATTAGTGAAATCCTGATAATTTTTGTTTCTGTACATTTTCTTTAGTGAAAAGTGTCCCAGCCAGCTGAGCATTTCATTTTGAAATCAAAACCTCATGTCTTTCTTGATGGAGAATGTAAATTGGGGACTTGAGGGTTTAAAGAGATGACAAATTATGGGACGCTGCAGGGGCTGAGAATTCCCGTCTCCGAGGATGCTGACTGTTCTAGCCTTGACCTTTTCTGCCAATGGCGTCCTCTTATAAAAATGTGGTTTGGAGTTTATATGGAAATTCTTGTAAAGCAAGAAGCCGCCTTTGGAACAAGTCTGTTCTGAGACTCTTCCTGCAGATGGGGATATAGCTTTTTAAGGCTATTCTTCCGTTGCTGTAGTGCCCCAGGGGCAGCGTTGCTGCAGCAAGCGTGCTGAACGCTCCTGCAGTGCGTCTGTCAGTGTGGTGATGACACTGTAAAGATCAGGCCCAATGTGTGACTCCATAATAGGTGCCTGTAATAGGGTTGAAATCGAGCCTAAGCTGGCTTACACAGAAGATCGAAGGGCGCTAGAACAAAATGCCCCTGTGGCACAGACAGTGCCGGCTTCCACTGATGTCATTAGAAACATTAAAGAGTGTTGTGCTAATGGCAAGACTAAAAACAGGCTGCATTTTAAAACAACATAGAGCAGGGTCACCAGATCCAGCCCTCTGCTATCTAAGACAACATGTCACGTAAGCCCCTCTATAAGCCCACTTTGATTTCTCAAATTATCTTCAGTTTGTATGTGCTTTTCTCTATCCCACAACAGTACTGCACTACATTTGTCACCCATGAATAATCCCACTTACATTTCAGACTCTCCTCCTTCCCCAGAAAAAAATGTAGTGGGAGGTGTGGGGAAGCTCAGTGAAAGCTGACAGTCAGGAGAGACTGGGAAAGGCCTACAGAACGACTTATTTAGATGTCCTATTTTAAGATAAAGTGAAGAAGAATTATGCACGTTCAGCATTTTGTTCAACTGACATGAAAAGAAGTCACTACAAAATCAGTTTGTGCATGCAGAAAAGGACATACCATGTTCCCTGTGTCTACCAGGACACTCAAAATTATTTCATTGATCAATACACTTCTGAACAGTAATCTCAGGAATTATGTATTCTGATCTACTGCCTACATTTGCTGGTCCACAAACTAAAATTAAATGAAAGGGTAAAAATTGGCCTCTGCAGAGGCCAGTTAGAAACATTTTGGCCCTTACAGAAAAGAGGGACTATCAGGATATCTCGGAGGGTCCTGAGGATCCCCAAAGAAGCTCATGCTGCTTGGCACCAAGAAAGGCCTCCCAGTGGTACGGGGCAGCTTGAGGTGACAGCCTGATGACCCTGCAGATTT